TCATCTTCTGTCCATCCAGTGAGTAGCTATAAAAGTCTAGTGTAGCTATAAAAGCAAAAAAGAGAGGAGTTCCCCAGGATCCCAGCTGCATTCTGAATGAGGAAGACAACCCTCATCTCCATGTTAGCTTGAGTCTAGGAAAGAATTCATTTTATTGTGAGACAAAAAATACAATGAAAACAAACAAATAACTATGACCATGCTAGCTAGCTGGGCACTGGTGACTCACACCTTTGATCCTAGTTACTCAGGAGGCTGAGATCTGAGCATCATGATTCTAGATCTGAGAATTGTGGTTAGATGAAGCCAGCCCAGCCAGAAAATTCCCTTCACACTCTTACCTTCAACTAACCACTCAAAATCAGAACCAGTGCTTTGGCTGGAAGTGGTAGAGCAGTAGGCTTCACATTGCACCATGCCTTATTTCAAGACACTTGGTAATAAAAAAAGCTATCCATGCCATGTAGCACTAATCCTTGTAATGCAAGAAGCTGAGTTCTGAGGATCACATTCAAGCCAGCCTAGGCAGGTCATTTGTGAGAGTCTCATCTCCTGAAATTAAGACATTGGGTCAACATGTTGCTAAAGTGGTCACTGGCACCATGTTGCCTTGGTTTTGGGGGAGAGTGAATTCCCACACACAGATAATGAGGGCCTGACTTCCTAGGGGCAGTAGCATGGACTTGGAAAATAGATCCTAGACCTATCAGTACAGTGCCTTGAACTCGACCCTGATCCCCCATGACACTACCACATGACCCTGACCCTCTCTAGGCCTGGACCAGCTCTGGCTCCATTATGCCATGTCTCTGGCTCCTGCTTTCCTCTGGTCACCATGGCATCCCAATTCAAGTCTCCATTGGAGCTGCTCTGGTTTGTTGATGTTGTTTTTCAGCTCTGTCTCCTATTCCATGCCTCTTTTCTGAAGTTGTTAAGTGTATTTGAGTTGCTGCAGGTCTTTGTGACACAAGTCTACCTGCATTCGTTGGCTCTCCAATAAGACTCCCTACTCAACCTCTCAAAATGTGGCTTCTCTGTTTCTCATGACTGAGTTCCCTTACCACACATTAAGCTACCAAAAAAGCCAGAAGTTGTGCCATATTGCAGTGGAAGAGTGCTAGCTTTGGGCAAAAAAGCTAATGCACAGTGGCTAGATCCTGAGGTCAAGCCCCAGGACCACCAACAATAACAACAAAACAATTGCATGGAATGTTATTTAAGAGCATGCTTAGTTATACACACAAATACTTGATACAATGGGGAGACATCCACCAACATCTGCTACCTTCAGGAGTCACACCTTACTCATAAAAATAAACACATTTTGAAGGTGAAAGGCTGGAACAAAATCCACCAAGCATATGGCCTCCATAAACAGGCAGGAGTTGCAATCCTAATATCAGATAAAATAGACTTCAAATTAAAATTAATGAGAAGAGATAAAAAAAAAGTTCGCTACATACTAATTAAGAGATCTCTCCTTCAGGAGGGTATTAGAATTCTAAACCTCTATTTGCCAAACACCGCAGCACACAAATTCATCCAAAAAACAATACCTTCCCTCAAATCTCACATATATCAAAAGTCATTAATTGTAGGGAACTTTAACACACCATTATCCCCACTACATAGATAAAGTTGGCAAAAACTCAACAGAGAAAGCCCAGATCTTTACAACTGCATAGATCAATTAGATTTAACAGATATCTACTGAATATTTCACCCAGCAGCATCAGAATACACGTTTTTTCAGCAGCACATGGAACATTTTCCAAAATAGACCATATTTTAGGTCAAAAAGCAAACTTGACCAAATTCAGAAACATTGAAGTTCTACCTTGCATTTTCTCAGACTACAAGGGAATAAAATTAGAACTCAAAAAGCCACCAAAGAAAGTCCTGTAACACATGGAGGCTGAACAACACACTGTTGAATCACAAGTGGGTCATGGAAGAGATTAGAAAGGAAATTCAAATGTTCATGATATTCAACAAAAATGAACACACTAACTATCAGCTCCTCTGAGACACAGCAAAGGGAACACAGAGGCAAGATTATAGCTCTGAGTTTCTACATCAACAAATTGGAGAGATTTGAAAACAACAATTTAATGAAACATCTGAGCCTCCTTGCAAAAGAGCAGCAAGATAAAAACCAATCCAGTAGACGGAAAGAAATAATCAAAATTAAATCAGAATTAAATGAACTAGAATCCAAAAAAACTATAGAAAGAATCAACAAAACAAAGAGTTGGTTCTTCGAAAAACTTAACAAAATTGGCAGACCCTTAGCAAATCTTATCAAAAAAAGAAGAGAACACACCCAAATTAATAAACTCAGAGATGAGAATGGAAACATCACCAC